TCATTTCACCAAGTCCACCTAAAATGAGCTTGTTACCTGTAGCGGGGACAGATTCCAAAGACATATGGATGGCAGGGCTGGGGGAGGGAGGCACGGGCTGGGGAGCCTATAAAAACTTTTGATTCCAATCTAGCACAATCCTCAGGAACAAGACGTATACATTTTTAAGAAAGATTTTTAAAGCATTATATCTACAACCAAAAAAGACTATATGCTGACAGGTGTCTGGTTGTAGTGTGTATAGAAGTGAACTTGCCGGGACAGTGTCGTCATCTCAGTATATAAAAATAAATTAGGAAAAAGAAAAAGAAGATGAATGGTTCTTCTCAGAGACACAGCGGTTCTTAAAGACATAAAAAAGGTGTTTCAGTACATACAGTAACACAATGCCCCTCCAAACTCTTCAAATGTCTCTCCCTCTCCCCCCGAAACCCCAGTCCCCAGGGCACCAGACGCCCCTCCGCCCTGTCCCTTCTCTCTGGATCCCCCGATTCCCCCCTCATCCCCACACCAGACGCCCCTCCGCCCCATCCCTTCTCTCCTGGCTGGGCCGATTCCCCTCCTCACTCCCTTTCACCAGCTCTGACCTTCTCCTTCTTCCAGAGGGTTTGCTTTCACTTTCCTTTTTTTTTTTTCTTTGTAGATAACTTTTTTTTTCCATTTATTTTTATTAGTTGGAGGCTAATTACTTTACAATATTGTAGTGGTTTTTGCCATACATTGACATGAATCAGCCATGGATTTACATGTGTTCCCCATCCCGATCCCCCCTCCAACTCCCTCCCCATCCCATCCATCTGGGTCTTCCCAGTGCACCAGCCCCGAGCACTTGTCTCATGCATCCAACCTGGGCTGGCGATCTGTTTCACACTTGATAATATGCATGTTTCAATGCTATTATCTCAGATCATCCCACCCTCGCCTTCTCCCACAGAGTCCAAAAGTCTGTTCTATACATCTGTGTCTCTTTTTCTGTCTTGCATATAGGGATATCATTACCATCTTTTTAAATTCCATATATATGCATGAGTATACTGTATTGGTCTTTATCTTTCTGTCTGGCTTACTTCACTCTGTATAATGGGCTCCAGTTTCATCCATCGCATTAGAACTGATTCAAATGTATTCTTTTTGATGGCTGAGTAATATTCCATGGTGTATATGTACCACAGCTTCCTTATCCATTCGTCTGCTGATGGGCATCTAGGTTGCTTCCATGTCCTGGCAATCTGAGGGAGCTAACATGAGATAGCAACTTAAACTGCTTTCACTTTCTGAGACACAGGTTTTGGCCTCTCAGGTTGTCCCCATTTTGAATCACCACAAATCACCCTGAAAAAGTCTAAAAGTGGAACAGCAAATTCTCTCTTCTCAACAGATGGGATAGAGATTTTTACTAATCCTCTGCAACAGGCTGGGCTTCCCCAGTGGCTCAGCAGTAAAAAATCCATCCCCAACAAAGAAGACAAACAGGAGATGCCAGTTCGATCCCTGGGTCAGGAAGACTCCATGGAGTAGGAAAAGGCAGGTGATGTGAGCTTAGTTGTGTCCAACTCTTCTTTTTTTTTTTTAATATAAATTTATTTATTTTAACTACTCTTTGAGACTTATGGACTGTAGCCCTCCAGGCTCCTCTGTCCATGGAATTTTCCAGGCAAGAGTACTGGAGTGGGTTACCATTTCCTACACCAGGGGATGTTCCTGACCCAGGGATTAAACCCACATCTCTTCCATCTCCTGTACTGGCAGGCGGACTCGTTACCACTAGTGCCACTTTCTTTTTGAAAGAAGTGTTCTCCAATAATTCCCAGATGGTGCTAGTGGTAAAGAACTTTCCTGCCAATGCAGGAGACTTAAGAGACATGGGTTCAATCCTTGGGTGGGGAAGATCCCCTGGAGGGCATGGCAACCCACTCCAGTATTCTTGCCTGGAGAATCCCATGGACAGAGGAGCCTGGCGGTCTACAGTCCATAGTGTCACAAACAGTTGGACGTGACTGAAGTGACTCAGCATGCATGCATACATTCTCCAATAAACTTGCTGCTAAGCATCTAAGGCAAGTCATTTACCAAGAAATGGCCACCAAACCTTGCAGTGACTCCAAGGATCTTTTAGATACTTCTTTGATAGAAAAGAGAAATTTCCAGAGGGAATTAAAGAGACAGCCCACATACACAAAAGGACACCTGGATGGCCTACAGGATGTTTACAGCAGCAAAGCAAAACCCAGCTCAAAGCAGCTTAAGTAAGAGCAGACATCACCTTCGTAACAGCAGAGTCTGGCACATGCCTGCACCGAGCCAGAGCAGCAGCTCCACTGCACCAGTCGCCGAGCACCGCACACCCGGCCCAACCACGACAGCGGCAGGGAAGGCAGCCTGCCGGCTCAGGTCCAGGGAGAGCGTTCTCAGGAGCCCCACCAGAGCCGGCCATCGGACTGCACAGGCCAAGAGGCCCTGGGAAGGTAGAAACATTGAGTATGGCATTTTTAGCTTCTAAATATGACATTTGCTTAGTACATTTTAATAATATTTCCTAACTGAAGAAATTCAGTTGTACTATTCGGCCACCTAAACCGAAGCTTGTAAGATCTTGAAAACAATCTAGTTTGACTGATGGCTTTTTTAGTGTTTTCTTTTTTTTCCACTATTTTAAAGTCAAGCTGATCTACTTCAGGGCTAATTTAAGGGTTAACATTGCTAAAGCATTATCAAATCACCAATAGTAGGCATCAATATTATCTTCCAAAAGACAATATTAATGCTTACACACAAAAGAGAATCTCAAAGCAAATTCTAAGGCTAAAATGGTAACATCTGACACAAACTTCCCACATTCTCTCTAAAACAACCTATCTATGAACTCATTGCTTTTCTCAGAGAAATTTTTTCAGTACTCATCAACCTAAATATACTGGCATAACAAAGTCCACATCCTAGAGTTAATGAATGTGTTTTTACTTCCATAGCAAAAATAGGTGACTGGTCAGCTTGAACTCTCTACAATGTTAACCATTTGCCAAATTATTCAGAACCCTTCTAGGAGAGTCATGACCCTTCACTACCAATTAAAAGCTTTAATCCTACTTCAGATAGTTAATCTATTTCAATTCTGATAATCTAATTATCTAATTCTGGCAAATAAATTCCAACCCAAGTCCAAAATAATTAGAGGATTAAAGTTTAAAATCAGTGAATGTGAGCTGAAACAGATCCACTGTGTAGAAGTTCAAAATGTTCTGTTCTATTGAAAAGTTTGTTTATCTGAAATTCCAGAATTAAACTGCACTACTATGCCAAGGTTTTCTAAACCAGTTCTAACTAAGGTATTATCTCCTGTAATTATATTAATGGATTCATGCTTGTGGATCTAAAATTCTCTAACAGGAGACTGCCCTGATGACTCTACAGAAAACAGTCACGCCACTCCCACCCCCCCGCCACACTTCACCTCCCGTGACACGCTTGACTGTTTCTGTCACGTGTGTCCCATGCTGCTCCATACAACACAATGACATCCATTTTGGTGCTCAATCACTAGGGCCTTGAGTAGTGCCTTACGTACAGACACTTAATAAACATGTTTAGTGAAGGTCTTAGAAGTGCAGACTAACTAATAATAAATTTGTATTTTACTAAGGTACATTTACTTATATTTTTAATTGTGTTTTGTAGTAAAATGATTTCAACAGTAAGAATAATAAATCACAAAGAAAAATAAAAAATAAACAACTGCTACTACAACCTCTGCTACTACAAGAGGCAAGCACCAGTTAAAAATCTGTTATGTTCTAATCAGTTAATTTAATTCTAACAACAAGCCTATGGTGAAGTTAGTATTAGCTCCATCTTATGTAGAAGGAGACTGAAGATCAGAAAAACAAAATTAGATGTCCAAGATCAAACAGAAGATAAATAGTCAGTCTAAAACAGTCAGTCTAAAGCCCCACTGCTAATCTGTGATGGCTGAGTATCATCGCGGAACAAAAGCAATGCACATCTCAGTGGCAGGATGCAGGGCCCATCTATAGAAAGAGCTGGGAAAAACACAGTACTCAGTGAATTCCACATCCGAACATCAGGCTGACAAAAAATGAGACATGCTTAAAAATTAAACATCACTTGAGCCTTTCTTCCAAAAGAAATACCTGAGTCACTGACTGGCCTAGTAGCTGAGTGCAGCCACAGTGTAAATAACTCACATTCTTGTCCACTGGCCTTAGGTTAGAACACCCCGTGAAAACAAGTGTGTTTAGTTATTTTTCTCCAGTCCAGTTCTATTTTATGTTCCGCCAAAAGCATTCTCTATTGTCTTTTTACTGAGCCTTGCTTCCTCATTAGCTTCCATTGTGTATTTTTCATCCAATCCATTTAGTCACAATTCTATGACTGGTCAAGCTCATTTGTTGTTCCATGAAATAAAATTCTTTGTGCCAGTCATGGTTCTCAGACATTTAGTCATTACTTCCACCCACATATTTCATGTTTCCCTAGAAAAGCAGCAGCCATGCGGAGACGTAATGCTGCTCTCACTGTCTACATTTACAATTTGTGAGAAGCTAATTTTATCCACAGGGAAACTCACATTAAACAGATGCCTCCAAGCCATGATTATGCATTCTGAGTTAGGCAGTTAGAGTCAAATCATTCTCACTTTTCTACAATACAAATATTACCCTAATTTATAAGTGACATGAGAGATCAATGCCCATCTTAATTCACTAACAAGGAGAGATGACCTAAAAAGTGAGCAGACCAAGCAACCACAGCGTTTCTTAACACTGTGAATGGCTAAAAAATAAAAGCAGTTTAAAAGTCATAAGGTAAGAAATACTTTTAAATTAAACAAACTTACTGTAATACTTGAACCTTTAATTACACACCCAAAAGCTCTCTGATTACCGTTGCCCACACACTTAGGTACTTCATTAGACAGATGTATTGTTCGCTGTACTACGGCAAGTTTCAGCAGTATTTCTCAGCCTGACAGCTTTACTTACTGTCTTGGAAGCAGTATTAATGTACTGCATCACCATTTCTTTCTTGATACTGAAGTCCTTTTCCCGCAATGGTACCTTTTTATCTTCATTTAAATTCATATCTTCCTGGAAAACACAATTAAAAAGCCTTGTTTTAGAATCTAAGTAGAGCAGCAATTCTACATAGACAGTGAACAGAAAATCAATAATTTGTGACTAAAGCAGCAGTAATTGTTTTGGAATGATTTCCATGTAGCATTGCCTGGAGGAAAAAAGAAAGAAAGAAACTAGAGATACAGAGAAGAGTATTCTAGATCATTTGAGCAGGTAAAATACTTACCAGAAAAACTTTTAAAATTCACAACAGGCTAGTAAAATTACACTGACATCATTATAGATAATTAGACAGTTGAAGATTTCTGCCTTCCATAAACGTATTAGGATTCACAATTTATATATAACTGTGAAATATATATTATATAAAAATATTATTATAAGCTTTTTTTTTTTACAAGTCATCTTGCACCATTCTGAAAGCACTGTTTCACGTAGCATAAAAAGTAAAAGGTAAATAAGCCAATCCCTTTCCAGATTCTGATAAGCTGCAAGCACATACCAAATACCTAATACTGATCCCAACAAAAGGCAAAGCATTCTACAATTTGAACTGTCACTTCTTCACCCCAGCAAAGAAATGAAGTGTTAAGTGCTCAGTCGTGTCCGACTCTGCAGCCCCATGGACTGCAGCCCACCAGACTCCTCTGTCCATGGGGTTCTCCTGGGAAGAATACTGCAGTGGGTTGCCATGCCCTTCTCCAAAGGATCTTCCCGACTCAGGGATCAAACCCGGGTCACCCACACTGCCGGCAGATTATTTACTGTTTGAGCTATCCAGGAAACCTATCCCTATCAAAAACATACATTAACTAATTTATTGAATATTCTAAATCACATAAAAGTTGCTCTCATGAAAAGAGGTACCACAAAACACCTAACATTTCTTAACAGCACCATTCAAAATAAGGGTTTATGTAACCTAGGCTATAGGTCTAACTGTGACTAAAAAATACAAGTCAAGAATATCCAGATAAAGATATGAAATGCGACCAGAATCTATCAATTAAGCTGCTATTCTGACAAAGGAAGGAAGGCCGAGGTAAGACAAAAGTGGCTGAAGGAGAGAGCAGTTCAAATGGATTTCCTTCTGACCTTAGCCTTGGGTCATTTGTGTGCAACGCTAAGGCATCTGAATGTATATAAACTCTACATCCACTCAGAACGGGGACCATAAAAATCAGGGCTTTGGATCACCTAAGGAGGCTGAAAGCTAAAATTTTTTCTAAGTTTTATAAGGGTGCTACAATTCAGACGCTACAGTTTATGCCTTTAGCTGACTCAGGTTTTGGCTACCAAACCTTTGAAGCACTTAAAAGTCAAAATTCCCTTCATTTCACCTTGATATAAAATTTAAGATCTTAGAAGTTGTTGCATTTGAAATTCCAATAAAAGGTAGTAATTAGTAATGTCACTCTTGGCTGTTCAGGTTAGAAATATCCTACTATGTGAATAATTATTTATTTTCTTTTTTTCTCTCTAAGCCAGTGATTTTCAACAGGCCTTAACACTACTTAGGAAGCATTTTGGAAATGTCTCAGGGCATTTCAGTTGTCACTGTGACTGAGGTGATGCTACCAGCATTTACAGGGGAAAGGTATGCTAGACATTCTGCAACACATGGACTAGTCCTGCACAAGGAATGACCCTGCATCCCTCTGAGAGATGCGCAGAGAGAGGGAAAACCATAATCATCTAAGCCTAGACTCTAATTCAGGGAAATCAGACATACAATGGAATTCATAGGTAAGTTGTTACATATTTAATACTTTATATTATATATCTTTAATATATATTGAATTTTCCAAAAATCTAACTACTGTGTATAGTTCCAGTTTTCGTTTTAAGCTTCACCATCATTTGTGCTTCATTTCTGAAATTCAGGTATCCCAGAACAATACTGCTTGTGGTATCTGAATCAACAGAAAAGAACAGCTATACCCACCTACATTGTAGCTGTTGTGCTCACAGTGGCATGAGGCAAAGATTCCAGAATGTGACTTTATTGTGCCTTTTTGAGTAGCCAATGGCCAACTGTTTACATTATTCCCTGGTGGCTCAGCTACTAAAGAACCCTGCTGGTTATGCAGGATACACAGGAGACGCAGGTTTGATCCCTGGGTCAGGAAGACCACTGGAAAAGGAAATGGCAACCTGCCACAATATTCCATGGAAAATTCCAAGGACAGAGGAGCCTGGCGGGCTACAGTTCATGGGGATCACAGAGCTGGACACAATTGAACACACACACACATACTGTTTTATTACATACTGCAGTAAGGTAATAAATTGATTTTTTAATTATGTGTGAAGATAGCTTATATGATTTATAAAAAAAATTTAACTAAGGAAAAGTAGCCAGGAAGTTAAGGAACAATTGTTATAAAAGGTGAGAGTGGTTTCATAAGAACATCTGTTCTAAATTATTCACTATGTTTTTTAGTTTCTATCTAATGGCCAAACATGATCCAGCCTCTTTAACCTGCATATTAAAATACTTAATAGATACAGAAAACTAAAAAACAGAAAGCCCATTACTGTGACTGAAATCAAAACAAAATTGTAAGACGGAGACTTGTAAGAAAGAAAAGGCTACTGCTTTCTTTCGTGAAATGCCTTTTCAAGATGACATGAGCTTATACACAAAAGCTGTATATGTGGAATTAAGGAAGAAACCCAGAATTGCCATAAATAAATTAAATTATATATATACATATGTATATTAAAAAACAGCTGCATCCGGATTCTCACTTGAGCCGCAATGCAGTGGGTGGTAGTAGTCCCTAGATGGAGAGACAACCTTGACACCACCCGAGTCAATCAGCCATTGTCTGCAGAACACGGCTCCCTGAAGCCACGGCTCTGGATTAAGACGGCAGCTGTGAGCCACCAGGAGTCACCACGCACACCCGCGTGCGCCTGTACCAGCCACGTGAAGGGGGTCTTAGAGGGGCAGCAACAGCGTCCACGACACCATTTGAGGACAACTTACTTAGTATTACAACAAGGTGACTTTCTAAGCAGAACTGAGTAATACAGAGATCCTCATGTATGGCTGACACAAGTAACATAAACTTCTGCACGTTTACCAATTCTTCCATTCAAACATAGGTCAATACATCTATATACTGTAAGGACACAAAAGGACACCATAGAAACAGATTTTATAAAAGCACTAAAAAACAGGTTACTTCCATATATGCAAACAATGATATATAACTCATTAAATACCTATAATAAATAAAATAATGAACAAATGATGCATAGAATACATAACTGTACAAGGTCTGAGGAATACTTTGAATGAGACTAATACTTCCATGGATATAAGACAAATATCTATTTCCTTAATTGGAAAAGCCTTATCAACAAAATATATCTCATTCAAAAATATTTTTTGAGTAGTTATCAATCAAAACTTCAGTTTTGATCAGTCTAAAGAGTAATTCTCAGTTTTGTTGCTAAAGTTCTACTAATGCCTTAGTAACATACATTATAAATTAATTCATTTATAGCACTACCTTCATATACATGTTTAAACACAATCTTTTGCCTGGGGAAATTGGGAGTTGCAGCACCAAAAAGTAATTTTCCTCTAGTTAATTACTTTCTAATTAAAAACTACACCTAAATTGAATCACTGTGCTATTTCACTATGTGAGTCTGACTGGCACTAGGGACAGATTTCAAAAACACAGGGAAGAAATACTGAAGGAAAAAATATTGAGGGGCAAGATACAAAATAAGCAGGATTGTTGGAAAGTGTCAAGAACATCAGAGATGAAGAAGTACCACTGATGAGGAGGTGAAAGACACACGGCAAATCAGACACAAGATGGGATGCTGGGCTGGATCTCAGAAAAGGAAATGCACTTCAGTGGGAAAACTGCCAACACCTGAATCAAGTCTGTGGTTTAATAAGAACCAACATTAATTTCTTAGTATTAATAACTGCACTAAAGTTATATAAGATGTTGGCATTCGAGGAAGTTGGGTGAAGGGTAGAAAAGAATCCTCCATACTATTTTTGCAACTCTCCTAAGATTATTTCAAAATAAAGTTCTTAAACACTAAATTAAAACATTCATAAAAATTCTGCTATAGAAAATAACTTGAAAAGAACAAGAAAAATGGAACACCTCACATTTTTTAATATAGTAATTTTGGGGGAATTCCCTGGCAACCCATTGGTTAGGACTGTGCACTCTCAGTGCCAAGGGCTGGGGTCCAACCCCTGTCAGGGAATTAAGATCCCACAAGCGCACAGTGAGGCTAAAAACAAACAAAAATATATATATATAGCAATTTTTTTAAAGTCCATTACATAAAAGGAGCACATTTGTAGGATATTTGGTTACAGTCAATACACACAAACTCGATAGAGAAGAGGGAGGTAAAGAAACCACTGTCGACATATCTGACTCAAACAGACATTAACAGAAGTCCATCAGAAACCTAAGGTCAGGTATCTTTTGGAATTTTCCAAAACAGGAAGTGCAAGTTGTTGACATGTCTTCCCATGTCCATTCCAAAGGTGATGTGTGAACCATCCTTCTCACTCACTCTCCTAGCATCCTTTGCTACATCTTTTCACAAGGACCATGTTTCTGATCCTGAACAATGGTTCAATTCAAGCCAGGCACTGTGCTGCAACACTCAGAAGCACCATTTGTTCAATACTCAGTAATAACCCTTTGGGTTATGTACTGTCTCCTCTTTACTGATTAGAGAAGTGAGACGGAAGGAAGTTCTCTAAGCTGACAGTAAGCCGTGCAGCTCAGATTTGTGCCTCCATTCTTATTTCCATATTATGTATCTCCATGATCTGAAGCCCCCCTTCCTTCGGGCCTAAGGCCATCTCACACCCTCGGGAGCGGATTCCCCCTACTGCCCATGCTGTGACACCCCTCCCGGCTTCCCCACAACCAGCAACCCTCATTTCCACTTTCCTCATTGTGGTCTTCACGACCACACCTGGGCCTTTTATCTAGAAACGGTCCTACCTCAAGTAT